TCTATAGATACATGGAAATAAAACTCTGAGTGCAAGACACAGAGGCCGCTCCCCAATCCTAGTGAGATCGTGCCACACCAGACTGACACCCATCATTTTCTCTTAGAGCCCAGGGAAAGTTTAGAATATTCCAGATTGATCTACACTAAAGTGCCTTCATAAATTATTGCATGGAGAGTAATAGGAGAAAAAGCAGCCTCAATTGGCACAATTGATGTCAAAATGGAGACATGAACATACATTGAAAGATCTTTTTCAGCCTTAAAATTAATGGTTTTGTGTCATTGGAATATGGCCTTTTTTTCCCCTTCCAAAGAGTTTCAGAGCCAGTAGAATCTATAAATAGTCCACAGCCTGGTTGTCTGTGGTAGATTGAGTAGAGGAGAATTGCCCGTCCTTAAGTGAAGGGGAAGTAGCTTTACATTTTTAGTAACTGAATTGTTGGCCAGCATAAAGGTAAGGGCCATGTGAGCAACTTATTTATAACTTCCCATAAAGGTGTGTGTCTGCCTCAAGCAGAGAAACTGTCTGGGGTGCTTGAAATGTAAAAGTGCAGAAGAATCATTTTCCATACACAGCTTCCCCTAGCTAGTTGGTACAATAAAGTGATTGTTCGCATCCCTGGGGCTTTCAGAAAAGAGGGGTGTCAGTAGATTAGCTCATTAGCGTCGCCTCCTACGGAATACAATGGACTGAGGCTGTTAAATTTGAATCTTTGGTTTTATGTAATGAAGAATGTTTACATATGAACTCCCAAGGGTATTCAGGACATAAATTTAAGCTTGGTTTAACCTGCTGGGTGTGGTCCCCCACCTATTCTACCTGTGTAGTCTAACCACATTTAGGTTACTGTCAAAATAGTTCATGGGTTTAAAAGCACTTTATTCTTTCACAGGTTCAGCTCAACTATGTTTTTTCTTTTTTTCTTTTTTCTTTCTTTTAAATGAAGAACATAGAATCAGACTGAATTCTCTGGTAACAGTGGGAGAAGGGAAGAAGAATAAAACATTTTCATGGCACCCTGCAAAGAGCGTGGTTAAACCCTTTAGGGAGATGCCAGAAAATGGAGTCCATTTTTACATGTTACCAATGTCATCACTGTCGTCAAAAGTAAATCCCAGCCTGCTTTAACTCTAAGGGTGACGTTTTTGCTGTCGTAAATGCACAAACAGAAGCAGTTTTTGGCCCTCTTTTGTTACTCATTGTTGATTTCAGAGAGTGAGTTTTTCTGAAGATTATGTTGGCCATTTAAATCGTCTGCATATATGGCTAAAACATAAACTTGGGCTTTCATGCCAATGTCGGTGGCTTTGTTTAGTATTCGGGCAAGTTGTAATAAGTGGTAAATGGCCCATTAACTATATTGGAGGCCTCATAGCAGCACTAATTTCAAATCGTGCTGGGTTTACAATTTACATATTAAAAAATGTTCACTTGATTTTGTTCAGGGACAGAGCTGACATCCTATATAAGCATTACTCCAAACAATCCTATTTATTGGTCCAATTATTTCAATTGAAGGATGCTGGTTTACTGCCTTTTAGTATACGTGAACAATTCTCAGTGAAACTGTGGCAGAATAACCTCGCAGGGTTCTGATTTACTTTTAATTTTCAGTCCCAGGATTAAGGATCATTTATAGTATAATGTAACAGAGTGGGCAAATATAGCTCCTCTTAATGCCCTTCTGATATTTTGGGGAAAGAGTGCTTCTGTGCAAAGCATTCACTTATGAATTTCATGACTGCCTTTTCTCACAATAAAATTTCATTCACATTTCCTCCCTTCTCCCACATCCATAAGAGATAGGACAGCGTGCAGTGTTTTTCTTTATTTTATTATTATTTAAAAACTTTTTTTGAGATACCGTTTAAGGTAGTTCTTTAGGATAGATGCCAAGGTGACTAGTTAATACTGTTTTGAAATCAGGCTCTTAATTTAAAATGCTTAATTTGTGCAAGAAAACTACATGTTAAAATGAATTTGGAAAGATTAGATTGGAATTGCCTCAAATTCAATTAAGCCACACTGCATGGACGTGCTGGGAATATTAATACAATCACTGTAAATTTTGTACAAACTGATTTGTTGCATTATCTTGCTCATCTAACATACGGTACTTTTTGTGTCCATATTGCAGACGGCAACTCCAAACTAACATGGCAGTCAGACTGTGTGATGTGGCTTCTCTGCTTAGAAGTGGTTCGTGGGCAGCAGAGCCTTGGACTGGGGTCTGTGGGATTTTTCTTAAATTCTGTAGGCTACTTTTTTTTAGCATGTTGCAGGAGTGCTGAGGCCATACCAAACACTTGAACTTTTCATTTGGCATACTAATTAATTATTCTTACATCCAGCCTGTTACGGTATGGCCATCATTAGGACATAAAGCACATTGCAATTTTAACCATAGTGGTATATGTAGCATCAGAACCATGCTTTTGTCTCTGACTTTTTATAACCTAAATTAGGATTTAGTGCAGACTCAAAGAAAAGAGTGATGAGCTTTAAAAAAAAAAAAAAAAGTTTTGGTATGGTCTAAATACTAAGTTACCGTAATTTTTTACATTCTGTTTACTATGTATTTTTTTGGTTACTAAATTTTGAAGTTATTCACAATTCTTGATGCTCCAAAAAAAATTGTTGAAATTGTAAATCTGGCTGGAAATTATTTGCCCAGTAACTGTTGAAAGAGTTTGCATTCTGTGAACAGTTGTGTTGAGCCTATCAATGGAATATGCATTATTTGTAAAATATAGCACATTAGTATCATTTTATTCTGAGCAGATGGTCCTATAGCTGAGAGATGCTGTAATTTTCAGTGCACACAGCCTACTGCAGCTGTTCACTTGAATGTTGGCTTAGGAGCTCATTCTTGCCACCTGAACATGGAAATAAATGTGCAATTAAGTGAGGAGTGTTTGTTGTCCTTGCTAAATCCTGCTAATTTCAGTCAGTGAACACTTTATGTTTCAAATGCTATCCCAATGAGCTTTAGTTCAAATTTCATATTTGAGACTTATCTTGTTTCTGCACATCATACCCTAACTTTAGAATAGTGATTTGTTTAAGTTGGCTTTGGCTCCTCTCATCTTGCAGCTCATTGTTTTCATAACTGCTGGGCAAAGGTCAATCCCCTACAAATTTTGCTGTGGAAAGTGACCCACGGCTAATATTCTACAAACTGGAACAGTTGTGCTTTATTAGGAAATCTGAAACCCCCTTTCTCAGTTTCAGTTAAATTTGTTAATTATAATAAAATGCATATGTTGAATTGTGTCAGATTTTTTTCATATGGGTTTCCAGAGGTTACTTTGTTTTTCTCTATTCTTTTAAGTAATCCCTGAAAATACTTGTCCTGGAAATGTGGCTTGCAGCTTTTAGAAGAAATACCCATTTCTTTGAAAAGGAAATGAAGTCTCACGGGGTTGTGGGTTGTTTGATATTTCATAGATGCTCTGGATTTGTCTCCTGTTTTTTATCATGATAGCACTGATTCTAGTCCTGTCCGGCCAGTCTCAGTCTGTCCTGTGCTGCTTTCTTTTATAAATATCTCTCGGCAGCAGAGATTTCTTCCTGCATACTTATCCACTATGCCCTTTTATTTTCCCTAGGCAAAATGTTTTTTAAAAGACCTTTACTTTTTTTTCTTTTCCTGTAACACTCCCTCTGCTTTGCTTTTGAAATTTTGTCTCCTATTCTTTGCTTTTTATATGTAAAACTTCCCTAAACCTAGTATCCCATCAATTCAGAATTGTCAATTTTGAGAAGTTTTTTGGTGAGATGAGAGGGGTATTGGATGAAGCATGAAAGGTAATGCTTTCTGTGATGCCTTGGTTTTTGGATTGCCCCCAGTCTTGGCTACCCATCGTAGATAGCTATTGAAAGACGGTTTTAGAAAATTGGGGACTGTGGTTGTGACTGTTTTGCTCAAAGAGCGTAGGATTGATTTTTAGGAAACTATATCCAAATTTTTCTTGTGATTTTTAGAGTAGGTTGAACAGTTTGAGGCCATTCCCCTCTACTCTTTATCCTGCATTTGGAGTGTATAGATGCATTTTCAACAGGCTTATATGCTCAGTTGAAAACTACTTGGGCTGGTCTTTTTGTAAAAGTTGATATATTCACACTGTTGTTTTAGTGCACTGGATAGTTTGTTTTTTTTGTTTTTTGTTTTTAAATGTCAGAGTTAAAGCAGAATACCATATTGAATTTTTGGGGGATTTTATTTTTATGCTTTAGGTCAGTTGCCTTGTTGGTGATCTTTAGCTGCTAAGCTTGACAAAAATGGCTTGTTAGCTTCTACGAGGTACACTAAGTACTCACAGCTTCTTTCCCAAGTTACCCTACAAATCCTTTTCATGCCCTAACATAGAACATCTGATATTTTTTTATTTCTTATGAACAGTAGTTGTATTAAGATACTGTCAATCAAAAACATTTTTAATATGTAACCAAAACAGTACATGTTGACAAATTTATATTTTTTAAAGTACTTTTGCTTCTTGATTTTAAGTTAATAGATGTCTGTCAGTTTTAGAATATTGCAATTCTTAGGCAAACTGAAAATCTCTTCAGAGTTAGGTAGAAAACGTTTTTTGGTTTGTTTTTGGTAGCATGTTAAGTGCTTTTATTTTTTAGTATGATTTTTAGTCAGGAATCAATTCTCTGCCCTTTGGTAATAAATTTTATGAAGTCTGTGGACACTGCAGGTGAGTAAGGGTATGTGAGTAGACCCAGAATGTGGTTCTAAAGAATGTTTTAAGATTTAAATTGTGCTTATGTGCATGTATGGAACATGTATGTGTAAGTATAACCATGATCTTAATCGAATAACTTAATATGAAGTAAAAATTAGCATTAGGTGTTGCACTTTTTATTGAAGCTTTGTTGTAATTTCAGCAAAATGACTTGTGTTCTAGTGATGTGTTTAAATTTTTGGATGGAATCTCTAATAGTTTGTGAAGTATGAATTCTGACATTTCTTATTTTCTCTGTTTTAGCAGGTAATTGCTGCCATGGAAACACAACTGTCTAATGGGCCAACTTGCAATAACACAGCCAATGGTCCAACCACCATAAACAACAACTGCTCGTCACCAGTTGACTCTGGGAACACAGAGGACAGCAAGACCAACTTAATAGTCAACTACCTTCCTCAGAATATGACACAGGAGGAATTAAAGAGTCTTTTTGGGAGCATCGGGGAGATAGAGTCTTGTAAGCTTGTAAGAGACAAAATAACAGGTATGAAGTTTTATGTAGTTTACTCATACTTAAAGGACTGTTTAAAGGTGTGAGAAAATAAGTTTATTACCTGTCTGTCACTGTGCTGCAGTTTTTACACATCTAGATATTTTCTCTGTTATTGACTATATCAGCAGTGTGAAACTTGGTTTTAAGAATTTTGTTTTCCTTTTAAAGCATAAATTGTTTTATGGGCAGTATGTATTAAAATTAGATTTCTATATACTCTGAACTTGATAATAACATTTGAAAAATGTTTTAAAAGTACATTTGTTTGGGGCAGCAGGTGTCACATTAACCTTTAGTTTTCAGTTCCCTGAGTTTACGTGATTTAGCATTTCATCAGTGAGATAATTAGGAGAATATTACTGTGTTTGGGAGACGGGGGAAAATACCTCTTTAAATTTCCGTTCCCTGAAGTCTGGATAGTCCTTCTGCTTATAAAATATATGAACAGAGTAAAAGGTAATATTCACATTGTCGGTGTATAAATATTGGCACTGATATAATTTGAGCATAGCAAGATCTTATGTTCTGTTCCTTGACAAGCAAAGAAAAGTGGTCATGAGTGCTCCTCTTACAAAGACAAGAATGAAAGGATGGATAATTTGGCCTTTAATAATGGATGCTACATTTTGAATGTTAGGGAGTAGAAAATCTTCTCAGTATTTTGTAAGATTTGACTACATTTTTAGAATAACCCAGAACCTCATTCAGAGCATGTTGTAGAGATAGAAGGGTTAATGCTTCCTGCAGGAGTTTTTCTCAGACACTGAAAGTATATGAAGTTAAGTGTAGACACTCCATAGCTTTGTCAGGATGTTGTTAAGTTTGCATGATGATGTCTAGCAAATTGGGTTATCTGGCTTATAACCAAAAATATAAAGCTAAATATTTGAAGTGAGTAAAAGATACTTAAAGACGATGGGACCAGTCAGATCTGGAGTCTGAACTTCAGTCGTATGACCTTGGACATGTCAGCTCTTGGCTTTAGGTTGCCCTTGGTAAAATGAGGTAGAGGGCAGAGGACAAGGTCACACTAGGTAATTTCTGAGGTTGATTGTGACTTTTCTGGAAATGGCTTTTATCAAGACGGCAGTGCTTATTCTCTCCAAATTAAGTGAATTCTTAGAGCTATCACCTGGGCTTGACCTCACAGTCATATTTCCTTGAGCAACAGAGATAATTTATTTATTGAAATCAAGCAAATCAAATGAAAACTAAGTAATACACAGTTGTTATCAATCTATACTGGGTAACTGTATTTTAACGAATTATGTTACTTAGATGTTCACCATGATATATCACAGGAAGGTCTGTCTTTTGTTTTTGTATACTGATAATAAAATAGATGAAATTTTTTTCCATTTGTTTTCCCAAAATTTGTGTGAACAACTTAGGTGAAATTTATAAAGAAACAGTTTTTGAAAGGGTTGGAAAAGGTAGAGAACAAAAGGCTCTTATTACGTGTGTCTGTTATGATACTAAATTTCATTTTATTATTTTTAGCAAAATGACATCCTTTTTATGTGAAGTTTGTACCACTTTTGATATAAATGACTATGTGGTAAATGGCATGATGGCTGGGACATAAATGACATGTTTTCCGAGTTGATTGTTTAGTACCCATCTTTGCCACTGAAAAGATGCTTCAGCAAACACTCGGAAACTACATTGATACTTGTTGTCTATTTCTTTCAACCCCCAGACCTACCGCCCACCTTTGTCTTTTCAGTGAAAGGAGGGCTAACAGTATTTTCCACCGTGATACAATTTCTGTTTAAAATCTCTGGTAAGCAAGTGGAGTACCCAAGAAAACTCAAAGTGAGCATGAGGGTCAAAAGATGTTTTCTAAGTTTCGTCCCATGAGATACAGTCAAAAAATATTTCTCAAAATAAATATTATTGGGTTGACCAAAAAGTCTGCTTAGTTTTTTTCTGTAAAATAGAGACACATTTTTCATTTTCACCAATAACTTTATGGATTTGGATATTTTGAGTATGTCAGCTCTCTCCCACCAGTCGGTAGAGGCCAGTGGTGCTACTAAACATCTTCCAAAGCATAGGCAGCCCCACAGCAAAGAATTATTTGGCCAAAATGTCAGTACAACCAAGAAATTTCTCAAAGCATTTCTGTCACATTCAGTCAGTCACAGCGCCTTCTGTATACACCGCACAAATCTTTTTTTGTGTTTCAGTTGCATTCTTACCTTCTTAGAGTAATAAAGCACAGTATGCCAAAAATGTTACATATTTTCTTCCATCTTCATTATTAAAATGGCTGCACAAAAATTCAATTTTGATAAGTTTTTTTTTATAATGCATGCTGACAAGACTGCTGTCACATTACAGTCTAACAAAATTGTTTCAAATGAAGTTCAAGACAACTAAGCACCACTAGAACCATCATACAGAAACAAACTAAGTGAACTTTTTGGCCAACCCAGTATATTGACAGACAAGTTTGAGAAAGTCTGCCTTCCATAGTTTCCTATTGAAGATCCACACTGCAGATTATTAGCATATTAACAACTATGCTAAAACCCTGCTGTAAAGAAAAGTAGTTTGACTCAACAGTTCCCTAGCTTTATCTGACCACAGAACTCATTCTGGGGGCTCTTCCCCCACACACTAGATTTCTATTGGAAATGTTATAAAAGCTTCAGGAGACAAAATTTTTTAACTGGTTATCAGACAATATAAAATCCTTTCATAACCTTTTTTATAATCCATAAAATATAAGCATGTTTCATAAAATGAAAATCCATGATAATGAACTATAAATTTAAAAAGCCAAGTAGGCAAATCTGAATATAAAGGATCTCTTCTAGTAATCCTGTTTTGATTTTGCTGACTGACTCCGTATTCTTTGTGTGGGTTAAAATGGTGTTCAGAGAGGTCTGACTCATTTAGCTTCAAGCGTGAATTTCCTGGTTGTTTTTTTTTTTATTCTGAGTTTCTTTGTAAATATTTGTATTGAACAAAATAGTCTAGTAAATGGTGGATTTCTAAAACCGGTCTTTGAATGGTTGCACTTTGTAAAGTGGGCATATCTTCCGTGAGAGGCTATTATTAAAATAGTTTCTAGAAATGTTTGAAAGAATTTGTGAGCGTTGGACCCTGCCCTGTGGTGTTCAGCATCAGCCAGCTTATACAGTTTCTCAGGACACATTTTTAGGGTCAAATCAGAGTTCCTTGGTCCCTCTCTCATTATCCAGTTTATCCTTCCTCCTGGGGAGCCATTGGGCCAGCTCTTTGTATTTCAGTTTTGTAGAAGGTGAGAACATTAATTGTCTGGGTTGTAAGAAAACCCTGGGATCATTCTTTGGAAAAAAAGTAAATCTCTCCTTTTATTTTTCTTAAATCTTTCCTTAAATAATGCTGTATTAGGAAATTGTATCTCAGGTATAAAAATACCTAGTTAGGAAACTGTATGCCTCCTCCCTAAGTCCTAAAAGAGAGTATGTAATTTTTAGATTGTGTTGGTGTTAGCAAATTAATGCCACTATTTTGATAGAATGAGGATTAAGGAAATATCTTAAGACATGTCTTCAGTAGCAAATACAACAATCTTCTCTATAGCCTAAATTCTATTGATTATGTTGTTTTTCAGTCCCGCTCTCTGGGCTCCACCCCAGCTTTATGCTTCATTCTGTTTCCTATGTATAGGCGTTCACCAAGAGAAGGCACTGCTGCTTGTATAGCTTAGCTGTGATGTGGGTTCATCCCTCTAAGTTCTTAAATGCACTTTAGAGTCCTAGACACCAGCTGATGCTGCATTTAGAGGAATGAAACGGATTTTATGATGCAAGGAATGAATACAAGAGCACTGGAGTCAGAAAAGCCCTTGAGGTGACCATAGCCAACTTTCTCGCTTCACAGGGGATAAAAGGACCCAGGTTTGTTGAAGTGACGTGGTTGTTAAGTGGTAGAGCAGGGAACAGAATCCTGGTTTTCTTTTTCTTTGCTGGGCTGTTTCTTTCTTGCCTCTTTGGAGGCCAGAACTCATATAATTAAGCACAGGATCAACTGATGAATTTATAGTGAGACATAGAACTTGTATAGAGGAGTCATCTTCTGGTCAGTGTGTCTTCTTTAGAAGGGGAACGGGAGATTTTTGAGAGTCAAGAACTGAGGGAGCCATAAAATGAAGAATGTTACTGCTTCTATAGAAACTTTATAATAATGTATGGTTGTGAATTTGGATATTCTAGCCCAGTGGTTCCAAATATACCTGTGCATTCTCACAGGAAGGAGTCTTTAAAAATATAGATTCCAGAGGCCTTGGGGACCTTGTCAGAAAGCTTTCCAGGTGATTATGATGGGCAGACAAGCCCTTGGGGGAATCATTCTTTTGAAGTAAGGTCAGTAGAGTGCACTTGCAGTAGAGTCACTGGGATGACTGCCAACAATGCAGATTCCTGGGCCTTGCACCAGCCTATTGAATGAGAATCTCTGTAGGGAGGGTTCAGAATGTAACAGTTACCTGGCAGTTATCCACTTCCTTTCCTGAACATTTTGTGGAGAGATACAACCAGGGACTTCCAAGTTTACGTGAATTCTGCCTAGGAGTGTTGGAGAGGTGTTATAACGACAGTGCCTTATTTTATGGCAAACTAAGTTTCAGGTGCTGTCCCCTCCACAGCATTGGTCTCTGATAATTCCTAGTATTCAGGACTAGAGATGTCAAGTTTAAAAGTCATGAGGCTGTGTCTTTACTGAACCTCCCACTTGTCCCTGAAAATGTTAGTGTGTAATTAGTTTTCAGAACTCCAGGATAGCGTACTCTGGTGTTACTTTTCCTCTCTTCTAAAAGAAGAGAGAATTGCAGTTAGATCGAGACCTCAGGTAATGCGTGTTGCTTGCTTTTTTTTTTTTTTTTTTTTCTTTTTTGGTGCGATGGCCATACTCTTACTCTAGGAATTGTTTGAGGTAAGTCTACTATGCTGACCCCATCAGCTGCCAATGAGAAGCTTTCAAACCAAAGGAAAAAAACAAAG